TCCATCCATCCATCCATCCATCCATCCATCCATCCATCCATCCATCCGGCAAGCCTGATAACTATCTTACTATTTATCTTGTGAATGACACAATTGTACGAAACAGACAAAAAGGAGAGAAATCATATTATATTTCATGGAACACTCCCTTATGACCACAGTGGCAGGACATGGTTCCCTGTGGGACTGACACACACAAGGACACTAACCCATAGACATACTGATCAGGCAGTAAACGTATTGCCTTGCTGATTGTAGGAGAGTGTGTGCACACATACACACTGCTGCACCTCATCTTGAAAAACCACCCAGGTTGCAGATCAATGCACTGCTTCCTGTTGGAATCAGGGTGCTTTGTGTCCTGTGGGTTCATTTGCACGAAGCAAAAAAAAAAAGAAACAGCTTGTCATGGGAGCACATGGGCTGTGGCTGGATGTGACTAGGGATAGCTCCACCCTTCATCTGCACTTAAGGCAAAAAAAAAAAATCATTCATGACCATAAACACGAGTTTAAATTAAGTTAAATGATTATTTGAGTCACTGATTTGCGCTGATATAATTTTTTTTCTGTCTTTATCTAAAATTTGACTTCAAGTTCAATAGATGGCGGTTGAACATACGTTGAACATAAGCTTTGCTTGATACCATTCTGTCAATATTGTGAAAAGGTTTACTTAAACCCAAACAATGAAGATATAGTGAATCAAGAAACTACAGTGAGTACAAGCCATAAATAAAACATTCATTCCATTGGATGAACATCTTCTGTGTCAGTCATGCACCCACCACGCCCGTTACATCCAATTGAGCACTGCGTGCAATAGAGAGACGTCTTTCTGCAAGTTCTTTCTCTGTCAACCTCCTCTCATATTAAGTTTTGATTATATATTGACACTTGAAATGTTCTTTGTGGTGAAAAAAATATTCAAAACACAAAAAGAACTTAAACAGCTTCAATAGCAGCTTAGATGGGAGTGACACCACCTAAGATTTAACGAGGGCTGATATAAAATGTTGAGAATGGTATAGGTCTCATTTTCAAACACAGCACAGTATACAACATGCTTGATGAATCTTACGTTTTAAGGAATTTTTCCCAGACATTTATTTTGCTTCTATGCAATATCTAATTTACAACTTTTGCAAGTTGTCTTATTTACAAAGGAAAACAGATAGTGCACTTCCTACATCTATCTTTTTTTTATTATGAGCTTCATTGTTGGTAAAGAACTCAGTGTAAAAGGAACATTTAAAACAGCAAGTGTAGCTTATTAGTGAAGTGTGTTGAGTTTTGCAATTAACCTGAATGTCAACAACGTCTATGAAAAGCATCCTTAAATCGTGACTTCAGCAGCCTTTTTTGGCTAAACTGGTTGGAGTATTTTCACATACTTGATCAATTTAAAGATGTCCAGCTACAAAGTCACCTTCTATACACATTAATGAATATGAAGCATGTTTTTTTCAAGGTTTTAACAAGAAAAGAATATGAGACAAATTAAGACATTTCACATGTTGCAATCATATATTTGGGCTTCTTCTCAGACACTTCATTATCTTGCTGTTGAGGTGTATTGTTCATGCATCTTTTTGTGCAAACCCCATTTTCCTCCCCCACTCTTTTTGAAAGCCCAAGTAAAGCTGCACTCATATATATGCAGGATCAATAATAAATGACAGAGGTTTCATTACAGTTTATGGGCACACTGAGTTCTCTCCTGTTCTGCCTTTTTCTCTTTGCTTGTCTCACAGAAAAACCGCCTCGCATCATCACAATCCTCTCCCTCACCCCATCACGCCCCACCAACACGGTGGAAAACACATACTCTCATGCAGTATCCAGTTAGGCGATGAAAGTGTCCTAGCCTGAAGAGACCAAAGCAAAACACAGACGTTTGCAGCTGTGTGCCGTGACGCAGGTGACTTACCCCCCTCTGTCCCTGTCTTCTCGGCTGCTGGTGGTGGACTGCCGACTACAGTTATCCCTGTCTGGCTGCTTGGATTCAGGCGCCGGGCAACAGCATCAGCAACAGCATCAATGCTGCCTCCATGACATCACCTTAGAGACGCCTCATTGGTCTGAGACACTGCCAGCATCTGAGCCTCAAAGCCAATGGGAGCAGGGTGAAAGGATGGGGGGAGGGCCGTCATGTCCCTATGTTGTACTGCAGGGTGGGCGGAAGTCAGTGTTTTATTACATGGTGCAAGAGTGTATGATTGTGTATGTGCACGTGTATTCATATTGTGCAGCAGAGAGAGTTAAGGAAGGTAGCGTGAGAAACTGTTTGCTTGTATGCATGTGCCTCTGAACCCTGCAGGAGAGCAAGCCAGGATGCACGCTAGACTAAATTATTTAGATGATGACTGTAAATAGTTTTAAAAAATGTTTGCTTTTTGGAGAATATCAATTTTATGCCACTCAATGACTGTTAAAACATAAAAACTAAAGCAACCGGAAAAAAAAATCATTATTGCTGCTTCAAACGTTGGGTTTTGCAAGTTTTACCTGCTCTGTTCAATACAAAGGCTTAGCATTTAGCTGAATAAAAGTATTTGTATTTCTAATCTTTTTGTCATAAATACTTCTTTTCAGTGAGCAAAACAGAGTTTTGGGTGTTCTATCCCTAGTCTCTTTATTCTGGGTTCTTATTGGCATTTTTTGTCCCTTAAAATGACAAGACATTCTTCTCATGTTCAACTTCTAGTCTCAATATTACTGACATACATAATGCTGTTTGAAACACAGTGAACCACCTGACAAGAGAGCAGGAATGTGACTGGGTCCCCACTGCGACAAGCTGTCAGTGGTAATGGCTGGTGGTTCTCCATAAATCTGTGTAGATGTTTTAATTCCCTGTGTTACAATGTTGCAATGGCATTCAGACAACAAATTCCATTTACAGTAACGGAGCAAGAAAAATAAATATAGCAGTATAAAGTGTGAGCATGGTTTCATGCACATACCAGCACACAAAAGCGATTAAATAGAGTAAAAGACTGGCAACTTTTGTGATGCATCACAAATTGGAATGTTGTGTCACTATTAACATAAAAAAGTCTGAATTTGGACTTGACCATTTAGTTGTAGAGTCAAAGTTAAGTCCCATCTTTTGTGTATTTTAACTTTTGCTTTTTTATTTACTTTGCAAATCAGAAAGTAAATAGTTAAAGTCATATAAACTTAAACTTAGTACATAAAATGGTACCTTTGTTATTCTACCTCAACTGTACTGTGTTTGCACTAAAATTATACCAAGCACTTAATCATCTCATTATTGGTTGTTTTTTTTTCTCTAAAACTGTCTACTACAAGTAATTATTTAATACAAAAATGTATTAAATTAAAGGATATGTGCACAGACTTTGTTTAAAATGAAGTTACTGCTTTTGATACAGCTGCTTGTGTTTTAGTTTTTATAAAATACAAAAAAGGAATTAAAAAAAGGGGAAGACATGGTTACTAAGTAGGGTTTAAAGATAAAGGGTGAATACTGAAGAAAACCCCCCTGTTGATGCCCTTTGATCTTGTATTCAGCTCACACAGCCAACATAATGTCACCATGCTGTCCACCAGCGCACAAGATGAAAGAGCAGGAGCAGACACGCAGATATGCATGAGGTCGCATTAGGGCGTGTCGTGTTTTCGCTGTCTCCTCTCCTCCCCTCACTTCTTTTCTCATCTCCTCTCCAGCCACCCTGTGATGGTAAATGTACATGTGACATTAGACATCACACCCATCCTGGAAATGAGATCACTGCAGGGAGAGGAGGAATCCAAGGAGAGGAAACAAAAGGAAGACAAAAGTAAGAAAGGGGAGTGGCAGAGGAGAAACTGGAAGAAAAAAAATAAATCAGACAGATTGTTTGAGGGATTCCAGGAGAACTGAGATAAGACAGAAGACCAGAGGAGGGTAGAATCTGCTCTCAACTATTCTCCTGGGTGTTCCCACGGGAGGAAAGGAAGACAAATTGCTCTGGAGATAGGGGATGAAGAATGTTATAGTTTACAGATCAGAATAGAGAAAATATCCAACAATAAGTCAGAAAAATGGACTCAAGGCAGCCCTCTGTCCTAATGTATTTTTTTCATACAAACAAATCTGAGGAAACAAATCTAAATCAATGGAAGATAAACTTATTCATGTTTGCAGATAGTCTGGTTATTATCTCACTTATGATCCACGTTAAAAGGCACGGAATGGTATTTCTTCCTTGATATTTTTGTTTGTGAAAAGCGTTTCCTTTCAAGCTCTAAATGTACAACCTTCTCCACTCTCCAAACCTGCAAGCCCTCGTGGCCTTTAAAAACATAAACAACTACAGCAGCACACAAGTCCTCTTTAAAAAATCTGACATCATCCTCTCACTCTCTCAGAATGAGATCATGCCATCCAATTTTCTGGCTTTACTCATTGCACTTTGTGTGATCGAAACAGGCCACGAGTTAAGATTTTGAACGTGTGAGTGGATGAATTGGGTCTGTGCCTATGCAGGTGTCCAATGTAAGACTATTAGATTACCGGTAAAACATTTAGCAATGATGTGATTGAAGGTGACAGGCTTTTTAGTAGTACTGACATGGGCATATCGGGAGGAGAGAACAACCACTCCCACACAGAGCAAAGGGAGTTGAACTCAGCTGAAACTTAAATTGCCATGCACAAACGGTGAAGAACTGGTAGACTTTAAATACAGGATGAAAGCATTATATTTTAATGGATGATGTAGTGCAAAGTTGTCTACATGTTTTCCTCATAGTACAGTCACAAAACATCCTGACTTGATTTGTTTGTAACCATCCATCCATCCATTATCATTACCGCTTATTCCCTAATGGGGTCATTTTGGAATTTGGAATGTCCAATAAACCTCCAATAACATTCAGGTGAGAACCCGGAGAACCCAGAGAGAACCCACGCAGATGCAGGGAGAACATGCAAACTCCACACAGAAAGATCCTGGGTCCCCCGGGGACTTGAACCTAGAACATTCTTGCTGTGAGGCGATGGTGCTAACCACCACGCCACCTATGTTTGTAACCATGGCAACAAGAAACTGAAAATTGAGAGTGAAGGAAGTGACGCAAGAGAATGATAGAAAGAGACTTACTTAGCCTATGTAGAAGAAGCCGGTTGAATTGGTTAGTATGGACAATATCAACCAACAAGAAATCCTTAACAACATGACATGGCCAAGGCAAAAAGACAGAGAAAAAGAAAGGGTCATATACTGTACATTGTGGTCAAATTTGGCTTGGGAAGAAAATGCGAGACTTCTGTAAACTTTCATCAGACAATACAAATGAGTATAAGTATGCAGATATGCAGATGAAAGGCATGAAATTGATGAGGCTTGAATAATAAGAGGGATTACAGACTATAACAAACAGACATGGCACAAAACAGGTACAGTTCCAGACAATGAGGAAAATTATAGTGTCTTCACAATACATAGGGAGATTCTTGACATTTCTATGAGAAGCAGAGTCTCTGCATCCCACATGTGGAACTGTTGGCAATTAATTCCCGTCCATGTTGTCTTCAGAGAAACCTCATCTGTGCTTCTGTTCTGATTCTGCATCTGCTATCATCAGCCATGTTGTTGCCAAGATGGAAAAATGACACCCAGCATAGTTACAGAAACCCCAGAAGATTTCAACTCAATTCCCCTCTGTTCCACTTCAACTTTCCATGTTTATCATCTGATAAAATATTTAATTTAGTTATTTATCTAGAGTGATATTTCAATTTTACAGACAATATGATTTTACTGTACAACATTTTTGTTAAGCTTTCTCTAATGATGGTTTTTCCAAAAATGTTCCCAAAACATTTTTTAATTGAATATTTTTTGGGTCAATGTCCCTGAATATCCTCAGAAAATAGCCATTTCCATCTGTACTCATCACTTAGCTGAATTCCTTTATGTAACAACCCTTACCTGTATATATGCTTGTTCACTGCCACTTGCCATAAATTCATCATAGGTCCCTGTGTTTTGTTCTTCATTGGTTTTGAGTTGTATTATAGTTTTGCAAGCAAAACTTACTAATTAAATCATACCCTTTGCTGAAAGAAATTTATAATGTGGACTTTTACTGTGTCAGGGGAAAAAAACATCTTTATGTGTTGCCAGTTACAATACCAAAGCATATCTGTGTACTGTGTTGGTGCCATCTTCTGGCCAATCACAGTCATGCTACATTAAGCATGCGCTGAAGGTGACCAGTGCATGACAATATTGTCTTTCAACACCTGCTCTTTGTCCTTTACACCTGAATTTAAGCATATATCAATATTTGTCAGGATCCCAACCATTTTCTTTGCTCCTTCTGTTTTTAATTGCCTCTGCTTTTTGTTGGCCTAATGTTGTTCAGATGTTGGTTTGTGTCTGTGTGTATTTAGACAGAGACACAAGTGCCTATGCATCAGAGGTCAAAGGTGTTAAACTGGAGTTTTGCAGTTAAACCACAGGATGACATTTATGAGTCTCTGGTGTAATGGATATATACAACATACGCCTCGGTGTGGGCAAAGAGATCCCTAGAGATTATGTTGATTTAATGCTTTTCTGTGAATGCAGTGAATGCTTACTCAGAAAACGTGAGACTTTTAGAAAGAATAGTAAACATTTACTTGCAAGTCTAACTGTAGCCTGTCTAATGCTTCGCCATTGTTTACTAGTCAGCATCACGTAGAGAGTGGGGAGAGATGGATGATGATTTCAAGCTTATTTTATGGTAGTTAGAGAATAAAGATACAACTGTTGCTCTCCAGATGGATAAATAATGAGCATGAAATACTTCTGTACTTGTGCCAGAAATGCATGACATACCTTAGGAAAGAAAAATCATTACGTTGAATGAACAATAAGCTATAACAAGAGAGTGTGTTTTGCTTCAAGCATCTACTTGATACTGAAAGACTTTATCAGTGTGACAAGATTACTATTGAGCTGCTTTTTGTGGGAAATACTTTCAACAGTCCTGTTAATTCCAATCAGTGAATTTGTTTTTGTTGTGTACTGTTTATAAACAACA